CATGGCTCTTCACAATATATTCTGATCCAAGCTAATGAAGGTAGCCCATTTAATACAGTATTAAAAAGATAAAAGCACTCGCACCATATTGTCTTGGTGAGCATCCCATGTGATCATACCTCCGCTGCAGGCATCCCAGTAATATTTGCATCTGGGCTTTGTGTATGTAAATAAAGAGCAGTCAATAAGCAAGTACTCATCACAAGCTAAGCCGCTGACTCCAGATCTTTTTTTGTTCGAGCCCTTGATAAATGATTCATGATGTTAAAATTGAAAATGGATCAATACAAGTTAAGAGCCTGGTGAGAAACACTACCTATTAGGATTATAGTGGTTATTCTGGATCCCCCAGTATTTTCTCATGTGGCCTCACGGCAAGGGGCCCTTTAATAATTAAAACTTCAAAGCACCCCAAATTTATAGGACGTCACATTCCAGTGAAGGCAAAACCTATGGCATGACAGCGGGCATGCAGAGGCCTCTTTATTGGCATGCGAGCCATAAATTTGCAACATTGCGGGTACTGCTGCATACCTACTTGCGACTGTTGAAAATGTTGCAGCAGTCATCTGTCTTGTGAGTGATAGAAACCAGACAGCTTCTGGTGGACGATACTGCTTGCATGAGTGAGGCGCAAGGGAGGAGACCTTTTCGCGAGCAGCAAGGGGGGTCGACAGCCAGGAAAGAGAACGTGCAGCAAGCCGAGCCAACCGCGGAGGCGAGCAGCGTCACAGCAGAGCCGACCCCTCCCCCAGAGTCACGGCCAAGGCATACCTGCAATTAATCTCTACCTGTCCACAAGACTACAATAAGCAGGATGCCCGTGGAGGCCATTATAATCACACCGGACGGCAAGAGAGGGATCAGACCCTCAGGAGGACTGCGGACAAACGAGCAGCCGGGAAACAGCAGGCCAGGCAATGGAGCCACGAGGACTAGGTAAGGGGGAGGTAATGATGGCTGGAAATAGCGACATGCGAGTCGCTAAAAACGTACGGGACGGAGGAAGGTGAGTAGGGGGGTTTAAAAAGGCAACATGCCCCTCCCACAACTGCAGGCCAAGCCTTTACATTTATATTATGTGTATATTTTGCAGTACACTGATTGGCCAATTTTACAAAATTCAAACAGAAATCAAACCAAAACACAACTAAAACTAAATTATTTTGGACAAATCAATGTAGACAAACCAACATTTTTTTAAATGTATGTATCTGTCTGTCTATCCATCCTGCCTATCTGCCTGTTTTTTTGTCATCTGTCCATTTCAGTATATACAGAGTATTGTTTGGTCAGATGTGATGAGATACAAATATACTTATTGACATCTCTGCACAGATAAATGTCTTTATTGTATCTGCAAGTTACTAAGTTCTGTCTGAGATGTTCTTTCCTTGTGTGTATGCAAACTTCAGTAAATTGCTAAATAAAAATAAAAAATGCTATCTAAATAAAAATATAAAATGTGTTCATGTTAATATTTACAGACAGCAGACTTGGATTTTCTTAGCCGTAATTGGTGTTGCTTTGTGTGCTATACAATTTTATATTACCGAGTGACATCAGCCTCTAATAATGGAGAACTTTAAAAATATACTCGCAGACAATGAGTTCTGCTCAGACACAGACACCTAATGGTCCTGCAGTGAGACACTCAGGTCCTCCGAAAATGAATAGAAGAGACATTTAGAGCCACTGATTTTTTTTTTTTTTTTTAAACATTTACTTCTTCTAGTACAAGCAGGTTTAAAAATGATTGCATTATGTCTATGGTATAAGATGCCATGTACCTTTCATATTTTTTTTTTTATCCTTAACAGAGGTTTAATGTGTTAAATATAGAAGCTGTTAGTGAGGACAGTTAGTAGGGAACAGCATTAGTTAGAGTGAAACTCTTGAATTAAATTCTGTTGTGAATGGGGAACCAGTGAAGGGACTCACGGAGAGGTGCAGCAGACACAGAGCGACAGGTAAGGTGGATTAGCCTGGCACAGGCATCTAATATGGACTGAAGAGGGGAGAGTCTGGAGAGAGAAAGGCCAGTTAGTAGCTTATTGCAGTAGTCGAGACAAGAAATATCAAGGGAGTGGGTGAGTTGCTTAGTGGACGAGGGGTTTGAAGCAAAGATTGTAGTCAAGTGTGACTCCATGGCAGCGAACTTGGGGTGATAGGAAGATAGAGGTGCCGTCAACAGAGATAGAAAAGTCAGATGTCATAGTAGAGCTAAAGGGGGGATTAAAAGGAGCTCAGTCTTGGACACATTAATTTTTAGAGGGCAGGAGGCCATTCATGAAGAAATGGCATATAAGCAGTCACTGATGTGAGAAAGGACAGAGTGAGAAAGATTGAGGGTGGAGAGGGAGATCTCACTGTTATCAGCATCAAAGTGATATTAAAAGCCATAGCTGTTGATGTTTACCCAGTGACAAGGTATACATGGAGAAGAAAAAAGGACCAGGATAGAGCCTTGAGGTATTCCAACTCACAGAGGCATGGAATAGCAGGAGTTACCAGCAAACAACACAGAGAAGGACCTGTGGAAATGATAAGTGGATGAGTGGATCAAAGATAGAGCTGTGTGTAGCATAGACTAAAATAGCTGAGAGTCTGTAGAATGAGGGGGTGGTCAGCTGTGTTGAATGAAGCCGTGAGGTCAAGTAAGATAGGTATATATATATATATAAGTGTTGTGGCCATTATTTTTAGCAGAAAGAAGGTCATAACTTTGGTCAGAGCGGTTTCTGTCGTGTGTTGGTTTCGGAAGCCAGATTGCAGGGTGTCAAGCAGGGAGCTGGGAGACAGGAAGTGGGTTAGCAAGTTGTAAAATAGTTTTTCCAGTAGGTTTGATGCTAGGGCAGCAGTGATATGGGGCGGTAGTTTGAAGGAGAATGATGGTCAATGGAGATTTTCTTGAGTATGGGAGTGACCTTTGCGTGTTTGAAATGGTAACAAAGCGGTAGAGAGGTATAGGTTGAAGATGTGAGTGAGATCAGGAGTGAGGGGTAGACAGAGAAGGTATTACAGTAGGTGGTGAGGAGTAAAGAAGACAGTAGAGAAAAAACGTCATCCTCGGTGGCTGTGAGGAGAAGAAGCAGAGAGTGGCGGTGCAGCGGTGGTTATGACCTTAGTTGCAGATGGAATAGTGTAAGTTTGTGTTGGGATGTTGCTTTGTATAGTAAGAGAGTTTTTTTAAAAAGTAGTCTATAAAGTCTTGGGCACTGAAGTCAGTAAGGATGCTTTCTGCGTGGCTATGTGGAGAGCAGAATTATGTCAGTGGAGAATGAATTTGCAGTGGATGAAATCAGCATCAGAGTGGGATTTCCTCCAGTTATGCTCAGCAGTGCAGGAGCATTTTTGCAAGTAGTGTATTTGCTGGGAACCAAAGCTATAACTAACGGCATGGGGATTTATGCAGTTGGGGAAGAGGATCTATTACAGGGGAGAAATTGTTGTTTTCATGTTCTTCCACTCACTTTTCACTTATTGACCTCACCCCATGTCTATCTCTGTCTTCCCTCACGTGTCTCTTTCTTTTTCTACACGCCATTAGTAATTCCACGGCTCCTGCAGTGTTGCCGGAGTGGGCATGTGTTGGGGAGCCTGTAGCAACTTTCCTCTATACGTAACTCAGAGGCTGTAAAGCCTTTTCACTCATTACTGCATGCATCACTGGCTCTGTGTGTATAGAAGCAGGATTAGGAGGTAGGGTCACAAATTTGATTTCCACCACACAGGCACCACCACGTACCATAAAAGCAG